ATTCAGCAAGATTGAATGTCAAGAATGATTAAGAGTTGGATTAAAAGTTGATGAAATGGATTTTGCTGATCATTTACTAGATGAAAAAATAGATATTCCTTTCATTGCAAAAGTTACTGGTTTAACCAAAGAAGAAGTGGAGAAATTAAAACGAACTATTTACCATTTATAGAAGTAAGGGTCTTCTGGCTAGATTAAGATAAAACTTTGGGTGAGAAGAAAATATTCCACCAGGTCCTAAAAATTCTCCGGATTCGCAACTAGTTTTAAATGGTTAAGAAATATCGTGCGATCTTCGCCGGTAAACAATGTTGGTTGGGTAAATTCTAAATGAAAAACAAGTCCGGAAAGAGCACCGCAACAGCAGTACTTATTTAGTATTTGGTTAAAAAGAATTAATTATTTGGGTGGGACTTGGATTTGGGTTTGAAGTTGAGTACCTGACTCAGTAAAATCAGTAGACCTAATTTCAAAATTAATTTGTTCAGAAGTGTTTTGCAATTCTAATAAGGTAGAAGTTTGTCATTCTTGGGAATGGTTATTTTGTGGTTTAGAGAGATTTTTGAAATTTAAGAGCCGGCTGTGATAAATGGCTTGAGGATGAATTGATATGACCGGCGTACTATCGTGGGATACTAAGAAAAACAACTTTTCAAATGCTATTTCTAATTCATCTATATTATTGTAATTGTACTTCTTAAAAAATTCTAATTTTAAAGTCATCATTGCTTCCAACAGTTTTAGTGGATTATCTATTTCTATTTCTTCTCCTGTAAACTGTTGATAAAGTTTAACAATTCCTTTGAAACCTCTTTCTAAACTTGCTTTCATTTCTTTGTCAAATATCGGCCTACACTGTTTAAGAAATTCCGTTTCTTTATTTTTTTTACCGGAACATTCATCTCAGCACTCCATCAATTTTTCTCTTAGTTCCTCAGCAGTTGGCCTTTGTTTAGGTTCGGCATCTCAACACCTTTTTATTAAATCTTTTAACAATTGAGGTAACTGAATAACGTCCAGATCTGGCCTTAATCCTTGGCAGATTCTCATAGCCAAACGAGTATCATGAGGTATCTCATAAAAAGGAGGGAGGCCAGATAGAATCTCATACATAATTATTCCAAAAGAATAAACATCACTAGCTTTGGTATAACCACTTCTTTTACATAAAACTTCTGGTGCCACGTAAGGCAACACTCCATAAACTTTTTTTTTATCAGTTTCATTGGCTGGTCGGCACAAACCCAAATCAGCAATATAAAGTGTACCATCATTATTGCTTAATATGTTGCCAGAATGTAAATCACAATGGATTAATTCTTCATTATGAATTCTGCTCAAGCCCCCGTACACCAACAAAAATAATTGCCAGAGTTTGCCTTTTAAGTATATTTGACTTTTGTTGCCATAATTATTTTGTAAGTATTGCTTCAAATTACCACCTTCCATGTAATCCATAACCATAACATAATTCTTGGTTGTGGGATTTTGGGAAATGCCGTAGCAAGACACTCCTCCAACCAGTTTACAATAGGTTATCTCTCGTAAAAATTCGGCTGACACATTTTTGGAGTCATATAATTCTTTTAAAGCAACTGATTTATAATCAAGGCTTATATTATAGCCCCTCTCGGAATAAACTTTGTCTTTTTTCCTGAGCCATTGACCATCTTTAGCATCCCACTTTTCAATTGGTCCCTCATCTCAAATTGCTTTGTATGTTTCACCAAAACCACCACTCGCCAGATGTTGAACATTTCTAAATTTTTCATAAGGAATTCATTCTAACAAATCTAAGGGAGAAGTTGCTTTTAATTGATATTCTTGGATTAATTTGTCAATTTCGAGATTACCACTGCTTAATTTATTGAAATCTTGTTTAATATGCCGAGAAACACAAGGTTGGCATCAGTGATCCAATCCTAATAATTCTTCGCCAGTTTCAGGCTGATTACATTCCAGACATGAATCACAAACCAAACATCATTCATAACCAGTTCTGGGCTGTCAACATTTTTCGCATAAGCCATGCCTTACAAATCTATCTCGCAGTTCTTTATTTTTAATCAACTGTTCTACCTGAAAGTATTGTTCATTGGTTAATTTAACCGAACCGGAAAGGAAAAAAGCTCAACCAGAACTATAACACGGAAAAAACCTTACTTTTTCAATTACATCGGCACTAAGTTTGACACCTGTTTTTACTTCTTGCTCAAATTGTGCATATTCTGCTCTTAATTTTCCTTTACTATCGCAATCAAAAAATTGCACGGGAGAAAATTTTTTAACATTTTTCAATCATCATACGTAGTCAGCATCGTGTGGTGTTAAGCCAACATTAATTCACTCTTTACATTCTTCATAATCGAGGCTTCTTTCTTCTCATTCTTTTTGTAGTTCTGGTGTAAAAACTGAATGGGTGATTTTTCAATGATTCTGATGAACTCTAATGATTAAATTATCTACTAAGTTATTATGATCATTTATCGCTCGGTAAACTACTGTATTTTTGCTTTTTTCATCTAGCAAACTTTTTAGTAACTCATTATCCAATATTTCTTTTTTTTGAGGCTGAAAGATTTTTGTTAATAAAATTGCTACTTCAAGCATATTACTTAAATCACTATTTACTTTACTAAAGAGGCGATTCCAATCTTCTTCTGTATATTCAGTAAGCAAGTTTCTTGCTTCTCTTATAACTTCTAAAGTAAAAAATCTATCATATTCTTTTTCTAATTGTTTAATGTAGAATTTTTCTTCTTCTTCATAATATTCTACTCTCAACTCTGCAACTCTTAACTTATACAAGTATTTAGAGTGCTTAGGATTGTAAAGTTTTTCTCGTAAATGATCAGCAAAATCCATTTCATCAACTTTTAATCCAACTCTTAATCATTCTTGACATTCAATCTTGCTGAAT